CCCATCTTCCTTCCAAGGAGTGGCTGGTGGATTTGAACTGCCAGCCTTCTGGTTAGCAGTCAAGTGCCTTAGCCACTATGCTACCAGAGCTCCCAGGAAGAGCTTACCGTAAAGTTTAAGGCTAATTTTTACTCCAGTGCGCAAATGTTTTTGGAAAATTTTTTTAACATGTATATATACGTTTCTTTCCTTTTTCCCTAAAAGTAAAGTTAATGGAAATCTAGAATTTTCTATAAAATAGTGTTGTTGTAAACTTCTAATATCTTACTTTTTAGAAGGTGAGTTTTTTTCTTCCCTTTCTCTTCACAAACAATGAAAACACTTTAAATATAAAATGCATTCTTAAAAACTCAGCACAAGCTAGCATGTAAGTAAAGTTTAATCAGTGTGACCATGTCTCATAACTCCAGTATGTAATTTGTGGACAAATCTCTTTTGCTAAGAATCAAAACCACAATGAGATACCACTTCACACCCAGTAGGACAGCTACAACCAGAAAGATAGAAAATACCAAGTTTTGTCAATAATATGGAAAAACTGGAGCCTCATACAACTACTGGTGAAACTGTAAAACAGTACAGCTGCTTGAAAAAATCTGACAGTCCTCAAAAGGTCAAGCATACAGTGATCATATAACCCCACAATTTCACTCCTAAACAGATATCCACTAGAAATGAAAACATGACTACACACAAACTAGTACATGAATGTTCACAGCAACATTATTCATAATAGCCTGTAAGTGGAAACAACCCAATGTTAATCAAGTGACGAATAGATAAATACATTCATATGGTGAAATATTATTTGGCAATTAAAAAGGAATGAAGTACTAACACATGCTACAACATGGATAAACCCTGAAAATCCTATGCTAAGTGAAAGAAGTCACAGAAGATTCCCATTGATATGAAATGTCCAGAATAGGCAAATCTCTAGGCAGAAAACAGAGTAGTGATTGCCTAGGTACAGGGGGGATGAGGGGAATAGAATATGATTGCTAATGGATTTCTTTTAATGAGGACAAAAATTAGATTGTGATGATGGGTGTACATCCCTGTGAATATACTAAAAAACAATGAATTTTACACTTGAAATGGGTGAATTGAATGGTATGTGAATTATATTTAAAAAGCTGCTAAAAGAAACCCTGGTGGCTTGAACCCACCAGTGGATACATAGGGGAAAAGACCTGGCCATCTGCTTCTACAAAGATTACAGCCTAGGAAACCCCATGAGGCAGTTCTACTCTGTCCTATACGATAGCTAGGAGTTGGAATCAACTCAGTGGTTCACAACAACCACAAAGCTGCTAAAAAAAAAAAAAAAAGTTAGGTACAGATTTCTAATTATTTACTACTTTTATCCTCTCTGAAAACACTTTAACCTGAAGTAGAAATATTACTTAAAATGTTAATTCCACAATTACTCTAGTTTTATAGATGTATTAGACTAATGTTTACATTTTATTTTGGAATTCAGTACTTACAGACACTGTTAGGGAATCTTGTATATCTTTATGACTCACTAGCTGAACATTTCCATCTTCATAATAATGAACCTAAAAGAGAAAGAATTTACAGGAACCACTTTAGGAAAATAACCAAGATCCTTCAATCTTCAATGCAGATGACTTCAATTTCAGCTCTAGCTTGGACTTCCTTTTCAGCTGAGCTCTAGACCCTTGAAACTCAAAACAATTCTTCCTACCCTTAGTCTAGTAAGGAGACTAGTTAGGAGGTCCTGCAATTTATTCAGGCAAGACCTGAAGTGACCTGACTATTGGACATCTCCACCTCATGGAAAGTCCACAGGTCCCTAAACTCAAGATGTCCAAAAGTAAAATCCAATATTCCCTCCCAAACGCTGTTCTTATTTTTGGTCTATTTCTATCAACCATTTAATTCCACAAGTTCAAAGACATGAATTCATTCAACAAACATTAATTGAGTGATTATTATAAATGCCTGCTATTACAAAGGTTTCAAAGACACAGTCCCTGATTTTATATTTCAACACAACATACTAAGAGATACGTAGAACATAAATTAGCAATATTCTAGACTCTCTGAGGGTTTAAAAAATATTTTAGAAAAGCGGCAACACTGCTTGGGTTTAGCAAAACAAGTAGGACAGTAATTAAAATCAAGGAAGATAAAGCATATTAAGCTTAAGGGACAACATATTTTAAAAAGGACTGCATTCATAGTTGAAATGTATGTGAGGTGCGGGGAGAGAAAGGGACAGCTGGAGAAATACATAGGTAGGTGTGCTAGTTGTGTGTCACACCTTGGCTGGGCCTGGTTTTGAGTGGCTGGGCAGCTGGATGTAGTTATTCTCCATGATGAGACTGGTAATCAACTCCATGGTGGAATCCACTGGAGCAGCTGAGTAGCTGCCTTAGGGATGTGGGCTGCGTCCAGTATACAGGAAGCAGCTTTGAGAAAGGTCTCTCACTTTTTGGCATGCTTGGACCCTATATGTAGCTGAGTCTTCATCTCAGTGGCCTGCCATATTGCCTACCAATCTTGAGAATGTTTATGAACTTGAACTAGGGGCCTGCTATGTTGCTTGCTATATTAGGACTGTGCCATTTCACTTCTTGATCTTGGGTTTACCAGCCTCAGGAACCAGCAGCTGTCTGAGTTAAGAAAAGCCTCCAGCTTCAGTGCACCAGGAGCAAGAGGCAGAGGTAAAACCCACGGTTAAGGGGCCTTCACCCAGCCCCTGGACCTTGGCACTTTGAACGTGGACTTCTAGCCTCCTAAACTTTAAAAGAATAAATCCCTGTTTGTCCAAGCCATTCACCTGTGGTATTCCTGCTAGAGTAGGATAAAGAATCAAACAGCAGGGGACAGTCAACTTTGGCTCTTGTATATCATGCACATGTGTCTGGACTATCTTGTAGGTGATTGGTACCATTAAATGGTCTTAAGTAAGCAAGTTACAAATCCAGATTTAAATTAAAAAAAAAAAAAAAAAAATTCTGATGACAATGTGATAAATGGACTAGAGGATAGCAAAGGTTCCAGAAATTCAACAAAATAGTATTAATTATATGATAGGCACCATGCTATGTAGAAGCTCTGGTAGTGTAGCGCCAAGGGCATGACTGCTAACCAGAAGGCTGGTAGTTCAAACCTACTGGCCACTCCTCAGAAGGAAGGTTGGGCAATCTACTTCTGTAGTGATACCACCTCGGAAACCCAAGGAGGGGTCGCTTTGAGTCAGGTCTTACTTGACGGCACCTAACAACATGCTAAATGCTGGAGACAGAACTGTGAACCAGACAATTCCTGCTCTCATCAAGCTTTGTTCCAACAGATGTGCCATTTTAGAAATTGCTATAATCATCCAGGTGAGCAATAATGAGGTCTAAACAAAGGACGGAATGATTTCAACCATAATGGCTATCTCTCAGCAAGCACTTTGTGTCTGCCTCTCTTCTAATAACTTTGCTCATATTAACAAATTACTCTTCAAACAATCATAAGAGCTTGTTATTGTTGTTTTCTTTTTTTTAACTGAGGAAATAAGCAGAAAGAGCTTAAATGACTTCTTGATGTTACACAACTAGTAACTGGCAGAGTTGGGATTCAAACTCAGGAAGTCTAATGACAAAATAATCCATGTGCTTAACCTGAAATCTCTAGTATCTACGGGACAATCACCAAAACATGGAAGTAATGAGACCTAAGACTAAAAATGTATACTGGAGTCAGATTACAGAGCAGCAGTGTTTGATTCATCTCTATCCCTTCACAGCTCTTAGCACTCAACACCCTTTGTGATGGTTGTGGTAGTTATGTTTGTGTGTCAACTTGGCTGGGCCTGGTTGAGTGGCCGGGCAGCTAGTGGTAGTTACTCCCCATAATGAGACTGGCAATCAACTCTGTGGTGGAATCTACTACAAGCAGCTGAGTACCTGCTTTTGGGTATGTGGTCTGCTTCCCATATATAAGCACGAGCTTTGGGAATGGTCTCTAGCCTATGGCACGCTTGGACCCTGCATGTAGCCGTGTAGTTGCTCAGCAGCCTGCTATGCCCTGCCGACCTTGGGACTTAACAATGGACTTAAATTAAGGGCCTGCCATGTGGTTTGGTAACATCGGGACTGTGCCATTTTAATTGTCAACCTTGGGGCTTCTCAGCCTCAGCAGCCAGCAGCTGTCTGAGTGAAGAAACTCCTCTAGTTTCAGTGGGCCAGGGGTAGGAGGCATAGCTGGACCCCAAGACTGAGGGGCTTTCATCCAGCCCCTAGAGCCTGGCACTTTGAACTTGGACTTAAAGCCTCCAAACTGTAAGAATAAACTCCTGTTTGTTAAGGCCATCCCATTTTGTGGTATATTCTTGTTAGAGTGGCACTAGGTAACCAGAACATTGGTCAATAAATGTACTAAATAAATACATTTATTTATTAACTTAATAATAAATGTATTGAATAAGTGAATCATGATAGAAAAAGATTAGTCAATATTTTCCTTTAACTTATTTAGAAATACTTGATTATAGCTATCAAATATTCTTCTCTTTTAACAATGAGGTTACATGAAATTGAATTCTAGTGGGTTTCATGTAAAAACCAAATGAGTAAAGATGATACTAAAAATGTAGTAATAAAAACATATTAATATGCACACGTATTTAAATATATATTTGCTCATCTAAACATGTACACACATTAATATTATACATCAGCCAACTCAGAGGACAGAACAGCACAATTCAAACTCAGAAGATGCTTGGATGAACAAATTGTTTGAAGAGCAGATCAAATGGCAGCATCTAATTTTAGCTGTGTTTTTAGAATCTGTCAGCTATCCTTGCAGATTTCTGATTACTAGGCAATGAACTGCAAGGTTATTTAAAAGATGAAATTAGGATTACTTGTTATTCCCATTACCCCGTAACAAAGATCTGGAAATGAAATTGCTATGCTGTACAATGAAATTCGCAACTTATGAATTAGTTATTTCTCTGTTCATAACCATCAAGAGATCAGTAAACAAATACTTTATTTCATACCTGAATTTTCAAGATACCAACCACTTGAGTGGTGGAAGGAGTGATTGTAAACTTCCACTCTGATCTCCAACGACCATTCCTTAAAAATAAAAACAGCAGCTGTAAATAAGGTAGGAAAATAATTTGAATAAATTTTAAGTTTCAGATTTAAATGTAATGCTATAGTATGAGAGTACAGAGGGGATGGATGCTAGGCATTGATTTTCTAATTAATGGAAATACTCAAAAGAATCAAAAGTTCAGTTTTGTTATGAGCTAAGTTTAATTTTCACCCCATTGCTAAGAAAATAAGCTAAATAAGGATCCAATTTCAAAATTCCAAAGTTAGCGCTTAAAATAACAGTTGAAAATGAAATCATGTAAGCTACTTTCTAGGAGAAAGAGTTTAAGTTACTTCTTTAACAGAATTACTTAATCTTTACTTCAGCCCTGTTAGGTCATCGTCAATGAAACCACTGGAACTGACCCAAATTATCAAGTCATGGGTAAACCGGAATTCTAACCAGAATGGGAAAAATTATGGGTGGGAGACCTGATAGAAACATAATCTCCCTCT